TTTTTTAACAGTTATTTAATATTTCTTTGACCAATTAAATGTAAACTATCGAACATGTTATAACGTATAAGCAACTTAATGCAAAATACAAATAATAAATAATATCACTATCCAGATTTTTCTCTTCGATGTGYGCCAAAAATTGCGTTTTCGTTATCACCTATGGTTGATACCACACCTTAATTTTAATTAACCATTTTGGTCACACTTGAATACATGGTATGTCCTATCCATGTATATATTATCTATGGGTATAATCGACGCTTACTGAACATTAAAATGATTACCTCTGTTCTTACTTATTTAATATTTTTTTTTACTTTTAATAAATTTACGTTTTTTATTTTTAATAGTTGATTGGCAGCTCTATGTTTAGGCTAAAAATYATTAGCTTTCAATCTTTCAAATAAAATTTTTTTATCATTTCTACAAATGACTATACCGTAGAGTTTAGTTTAATGGTATWACTAGAAATCAAAACATTATTGGTGATATAAGGACAAATGTTGAATGATTTAAATTGACTACTGACCAATAATATATGTTTATTATTCTGCATCGAGCATTCATGTAACATACTAAATTATGCAATGAAATTAAAAATATTGGCTATAATGGGTTGTCTATAATATTACTAATTATTCCGTTTGGATTATTGAAAATTTAGATATATTTAATACCGATGCATAAAATGTATGTATTTCCATTGGTATCGAAATATAACGTCTAATAGAATAATTAAAAAACTATAAAGTGGTCATATTTAAAATTTGCTCTTCCGTTTGAACACCTAACAAAAAGCGTAATCAACATCTAATTGAAAAATATTGTATGAAATACCTTTTTTCGATCCAGTACCCTGTTTTATGCATACGTACACACAAACTAAAATGTTTCATTTGTAAAGTTCTGAGTTGCAGAGAGAGAAAATCGAGGATGGGATTATTAAATTTGGTATGGAAGGTGGTTCTCGTGTAATTTTTTGTACAATTAATCATTCGTATTAASATTCGAGGCAGATAATTTGTTTTTATTCTCCATAGGTATCCTACCATGTCGAAAAATTAAAAAGTGCAACGTTGTGATATTCAGAAAAATATWTACATCGCCGTTTAAAAATAAACCTGATAAACTAACGGTGGTCTCACACAACCACAAAATATAATATATAATACTAAATATATTTATATTATTTATATACCTATAAGCATTTAATATACTTGTATAGTTATATCAAGGAAAGTTAATGTTATTATTAACAAAAAAATTTATATCCATGCATTGATTAAGCGCCTATAATATATGTTATGATAACTAATGAGTATAGTATAAGTAGGTATATGCGAGTTTTTCACTATACTCGTTCGATTACTACGTTGACGTCTAAAACTTACAATAAATCCGACAGAATATTTTTTATTAAGACGATACGAGTAGTAATTTAAATAAATAATATTGCTAATGCACTTACTGAGCTCGTAAAATGTCCGTAGTACCAAAATACACCATTAGTTAAAACAACTTTATGACCATAACATAAAATAATACATCAAATTTAACGATAACGTAAAATGGGGTAATGTTAATTATTTTATATTACCATCGTGTAATATTATTTATATAATAGTATATTGTAAAAGTTACTTTAATAATTTAAAAAATTAAATACACCTAAGAACAACATAACTTGACGACTTTATACACTTATAAATTCAGTATAACTGTATATKATTACTTACAGAATAAAGATTTTGAATATTTAATAAAAGTGTACATTACCACGTATTWATATTTTATATCTACAGTTTTTTTTTTATTTCACAACGAATAACAAATCCAAAAAAGGTGGTTTCAATTGACACAACTATAATTGTTTTTTTATATTTTAAAAGTTAATTTGGTGGCGTCTAGACAGGTTAGCAAGTATTGCAACTACATGTACTATCGATGAGGGTGGGTGTAAATATTACCTGTATCACAGGGAAGCTTATACATTTACTTTATACATTTTAGTCTATAATTTCCGATAACTGCAATGATTAATAAGTGAGTGTAATTAAGTATTATTGCTGAGTGAAAATTAATAAAATTGTAATATGCAATTCATAATAAATAATATATTATATCATATAAGTACTTATACTATACACTACATAGTTATAATCATAGTGTGTATAGCATGATATATTATAATGTTATCACTTATCATTTTTCCATAAGATTTTAGTTTTTATATTATCAATTTCTCAACGTACGTAAATGATTTTCTCCTCAAATTGGGTGCTTGGCTTTTCAAAATATTAAAACACAGCCTCATTCGAATTTGATCCCTCACAGTTATAAAAARWTGCTAACAGTTAGTTGTCGATGTTTTTATATGACAATACTTAACTAAAATTATTTGAAAACACTATGTTAGCTATTAATATTTACTTCCAAATATGGGTTTACCTATTTCTAACAGCGAATCAATCATATTATTCATTGAACAACTATAATGAATTATAAAATGACTARTAACACATGTTAACATTAATAATTATTATGAACTAATATATCAAATCATTATAATATTTATTAATATCATAATATACCCACGCAGTATTGAACTATATTATCATTAAAACGTTTTAATAGATATGAAGTAGACATCGAATATTAAAAATTGATAAGCACTGGGAAACTTTATTGCGTAAGTAAATATTGACGTACCAAAAAACATGACTAACCTATATGTTTCATACAGAATGTTTGAGCGGGGAGCTAGGTTGAGAGATTAAAAATGGTCAAAATATGTGTGTATATGTATGTAGTAGGTACCTATAGGTACCAGCACGTCAAGCAGCTGATTTGCAAACCTATTGTCAACGAACAATTGAAAAAAAAATAAAAACGGACGAATTACTGTCACCCAAAGACGYGTGCAACGTTTCCGTTTTGTGACGTTCGTAAAATTTACGTAAATTTACGTATGGGCAACAACAGTAGTTGTACTCGTATTATAGATGATCACGAACGCTACCTATACACTTATATTGTTGTTTAAATAAACCAAATGAGTATGTCATAATAATAATAGTCTACATAAGTACCTGCGCGGGTTGTGGAGGACGTCGGTCGGTTATCGCATTGGAATTTTTTCCATGTTTCGCGTACGGTTCGCACTCGTTCTGTATAAATTGTACACTCCGCGTGCTGTATAAAACGGGTACCAATAAAATAACGTAAATATTGTTAGGTTCGGCGGCGGTGTAACACGATTCGACCGATCTCAGGTGGAGGGTACTGACGGTAGTAGCGCTCGGAAGAGTAGGAGAAGAGACAAAGACCTTTTTTCACTGCGCGAAATCAGCACGACTGTACCACGGACAGTACCACCCGTACCGGTCTCGAGAGCGGATACGACTCTTTATGCCGCGCATGTGCGTGAAATCCACCGAGTATTCTACTTCCTAATCGGTTCGAAAAACGACATAAATAATTAATAATAATAATAATAATAATATACAAACGGTCGGCGGACATGGACAGTGCAGGATCCGCTCGTCACTCGTTGGCAGTGGCGACGACAGTCGTGGCGGTCGCGCTGTGCTGTGCGGCCGCGGTGGGCGGCAGGACCGGACCGAGTCCAGGTAACACCGCCGCCKCAGCCCCKTCGTCGCTACTGACCAAGTTACCGCAACCGCAGTTACCGAAATTGTCGGTGATCTACACGTACGGGAAACATCAGTCATCTACGACGAATCCTCCAACTTATCCGGTCAACAAACAGCAGCCGTCGCAGCGACCATCACCTCAGCAACAGCCACAACAGCCGTCTAAGCCCCAGAAACGACCGCCAAAACCGACGACGGTGGACGAACGGCCGGGTGGACGGGATCAACCGCACCAGTCGTCGTCGGCAAACGCATCCGTGATGACGACTTCGCAGAGACCGAAGGTGGAGACGACCACCCAAGATCGGGCCATCATCACTGTGCCGTTGAAAGCTTGCCCCGACGGTCAACGGATGGGACCCGACCGGAACTGCAGACCCGACTTTCCAGACCCCGAGGGCGACCAATCCAAATAGTCGATCGACCGAACTGCGCCACTTTCATAGTGAATTTACTATATAACACTATACGTCGACATTGCTATTATTATTTTTATACGCGATTTGCTTTACAGACATATTGTTTTTATCCCCCCCTCCCAGTACTAAGTGTAATATACATAATCATATTATCATGTATTTATATATTTATGTTTGTATTAAGTGTAACCCACGATTTATTCCAGTTAGAAAACGTTTACGTGTGACGAATTATGAACAAACGAAATAAAAAATATTTATCACTAAAATTTTGATATCAATAATATTTTCCATAATTATTATTGCCATACCACTCAGCAAAAATAACGAGTCTACGAAACTGTCGAAAATTCTGCAAAGACGTCTAAAAATATAGCTTATTATAAGCTGCTTATATATATATTTTATATTCACGTTTCTCTTGTACGCGATTTTTGCGGCGTATATATCAATTAGAGTCGGTATTAAATTTAAATAAAATAACCCCCGCCCTCTAAAAAAAAAAAATAATAATTAAATCCGCTGACGGATATCCGTTTCTAT